GGCCGGCCCTGCAGCTCATTTTTCAAAGTAATGAATTAAAGATGAGTTTGATCCAAAAAAATTAGAATAGTTCTCTTCTGTTGCCTTTTTCAATTAAGAAACAATAGTAGACATTTTTCAGACAGATTGTAGAGGACTCTGTTTATGCAGAAACTTAACATTTTCAGCCCTAGCAAACCTTCATTTATTTTAATTTGAGGTTCTATAAGGATCTTTTAGTGCTTTAAATGCCAAAGCCTCTGTTTTAAACAGAGCAAGAGAAATTGGAAAATTAAAATTTCAGTCCCTAAAACTCTGACAAATTCATAGGGTATATTTTATCAACAAATCAGAAAGTTGGCTCAATTTGTAAAGTGTGGTGCTGACAACACACCAAGGTTGAGGGTTCAGATCCCCAGACCACCCAGCGGCAAAAAAAAACAAAAACAGCAAGACAAAAGAAAGCCCATCTTTGCACAGAGAGTTGAAGTCACTACTTACATATTTCAAGCAATAAAGCATTTGGGGGAGGTGGAAAGGTTGCCTGAATTTTACAAAAACAGCAAGACAAAAGAAAGCCCATCTTTGCACAGAGAGTTGAAGTTACTACTTACATATTTCAAGCAATAAAGCATTTGGGGGAGGTGGAAAGGTTGCCTGAATTTTATGGGTGAACTTTTAAGGAAACTTTCGTTTCATCTTAGAAAATTAGATGAAGTCATTTTTGCAATTCATTTTTATTTCTGTTATTCAAAAATATCTTTTGTTAATTAGCTGTTTTTATTGTTTTAGCCCAGACTCTATTAGCCAATTGACAAAGATGAGCTAAATTTATCCAAATATTCTAAAAAGGCCATCAGCTTCTAGCCAAATGGCTAACTCCCACAAACTATAGCATTCTTTACTTACAGCCAGATGGATATCACAAAATAAGGAATCCCTTCCTATTTCATTCTTATACCACACTAACCTCCTTAAAGAATAAAAGGGCTGGAGCCAAAACACAATGCTAAATGGTAATCATTAAATCCAGATCCTTTCATCTGTGACATAGATGATCCTTTCAAAGAAAACTGTAACATAATAATCAATCATACAACATAACCTAATTTCAGCCTACTAAATTTAAAAGTAACATAGATTTGAAAGTATCCAAATACTCTGGCTTCACTCAGCAGTTGAATTTTTACTGACCAGTTTTCACTTAGCCCCAATACACTATCTGTATGGAACCCCTGGAACCCCGAAGGGTTACTGATTCTTCTAGTTGCTGTTCTCCTTCTAGTTGAGAAACCCTACAAATGTGAGTTTTGTGGAAGGAGTTACAAGCAGAGAAGTTCCCTTGAGGAGCACAAGGAGCGCTGCCGTACATTTCTTCAAAGCGCAGACCTGGGGGACACTGGTGAGTTCATGCAACACTTGTTCCACACACATTTAGTGAGCATCTGCTTTTCTGGGTGGTGGGATATGATAGTAAATAAAAGGACAAAAACCCTGTCCTCATGGAGTTTATATTTTGATGGGGGCAGACATATTATAACAAAGTAAATAAGCAAACTATATGTTAGAAGATTAGAAGGTAGTAAGTGCTACTGAGAAATATGAAGCAGTACCGAGTGAGAGTGAGCCAGAGAAAGCTTCAACAAGGTTTCTTCCATAACAGATTTAAAAGGGTGATAAATGAGCCATGCAAATAACTAGGAACCAGCAAATGCAAAGGCCCTGGGGCTCAAATTTGAAGGAGTGTAAATAGTCCTGTGTATCTGGAACAGAGTGAGTAATGGGAAATGAGTCCAGGCAGAAAATGGGAAACCAGATCTTATTTGGCATTGTAGACTTTGGCTTTTGAAAATCTTTACAGGGTTTTGAACAAAGAGTGGACATCACTTGACTTGTCATTTGAAAAGAATCACTCTACTTGCTGTTGAGAATAGACTGTTTTGGGGGCAAGTTTGGAAATTTGGGAGTCCAATTAGGAGGCCATTGTAATAATTCAAGCAAGAGAAAATTGAGTTTTGGTAGTGGTGGAGGAGATGAGAAGTATTCTAATTCTATACATATTTTAAAGTAGAGCCAACAGAATTTCTTAACATGTTGATGTGGGATGTGGTGAAGAATGAAGTTGCCATTAACTCAGATGTCAGAGATTGAGGGTAGAGCAAGTTGGGGAAGAGTCGATTAAAACTGCAAGGATTTTCTTTGCATAGGGCCCAAAAATCATATCCTTGTCTACTCATATGATTTATTATGATGATTATATTTGGCTTTGGGGATTTCCTATGTTATTCAGTGATTCGAATTAGATACCTATTGGCAATTGGTTGAGATACTAGATGTCTTTCCATATATCAATTGTGGTTTTATTTACTTTTCATTCTTTAGTTGAAACAGGCTGAAACTTTTTTGTCTCACAGCTTCAGTTGTCCTTTGTCCTGTCCAGTTGACCATCAGCCTTGTTCTGAAGCTTGGGTTGTCTGACAGTTTTATTTGGTTACTGGAACTAATTGCTTATTTAGAATAGGTACACATCCTGGCCGGCCTCGTATCGTGGCTCACTCGGGAGAGTGTGGTGCTGATAACATCAAGGCCCCGGGTTCGGATCCCCTATAGGGATGGCGGTTAGCTCATCGGGTGAGCGTGGTGCTGACAACACCAAGTCAAGGGTTACGTGGCTCACTCGGTAGAGTGTGGTGCTGATAACATCAAGGCCCCGGGTTCGGATCCCATATAGGGATGGCGGTTAGCTCATCGGGTGAGCGTGGTGCTGACAACACCAAGTCAAGGGTTAAGATCCCCTTACTGGTCATCTTTTATTAAAAAAATAAATAAATAGGTATACATCCTCGTGGGATGTGATGCTTGACAGGAGTAGTTGCTATTGAATAGTTTGAACAGCCTAAAGCAGAAAGATTACAAAAATATGTCAGAAATAATGTGAAACTCAGGAAAAATGGAGTGGAAGTCATGATTATTTAAATTGTTCCTGTTTTGAGTGAGAGGAAACTTTTGTTTTAGATAAAGCCTGTTTTATGGTGCTAGGAGCTGGCCAACTGAATTCCGTTGGTTTGCACTGTTTCTGCTTTGTATCCTGATGGCATCTGGTTTTATCAAGGAGTTGAATTTCCTCGTTATTTCTAAAGAGAAACGTTTACTCCTTTAAGAAAAAGCCTAAAACTTGTATTTTGACATCGTAAGTGACCTGCTTAATATTAGTCAGGCAGTACTTGCCCAAAGACAGATCATAGGCATCTTTACTTGCTCTTCCATATTTCAGAAGATGGGCAAAGCTCTTACTGTGAGAAATTCCCAAGTTATGAAAATCCACTATATTCCAAGTAGAATCATTAATATTTAAAGCTAGAAGGATGAAAGAAGGCATCTAATCCTATCTCCTCATTTTAGAGATGAGGAAATTGAGACATATCAATGACTTACTTAAAAATCACTAGAGCTTTAGTTGTTTTTGTGATTAGCCATACTTTTTATTTTGAAAAATTTGACATATGATTCACACACCATAAAATTTACCTTTTTAAAGTGTACAGTTCAATAGTTTTTAGTATATTCACAAAGTTGTACAATCGTCACTACTGTCTAATTCCAGAACATTTTCATCACCCCAAAAGAAACCTTGTATCCATTAGCAGTTACTTCTCATTCCTCCTCCCTCCAGCCCCTACCAACCACTAATCTACTTTCTGTCTCTGTGAATTTGCCTATTCTGGATATTTCACATAAATGAAATCACAGAATATGTGGCCTTTTGTGTCTGCTGTGTTTGAAGTTCACCCACGTTTAAGCAGGTATTCGTACTTCATTCTCTTTTATTGCTGAATAATATTCCATTGTATGAATCTATCACATTCTATTTATACATTCATCAGTCAATGGACATTTGGGTTTTTCCACTTTTTCCACTTTGGACTTGCTTAGCTATATTTCTTAAAGGTTATGTACTATCTGGTTAGCAAAAAAGTATATAGTGACACATACTAATAGACACACACATATGTAGTATGTGTGTCTTAATTCTCCTGGAAGTAGGGGGAGAAATCAGTAAACTACACTTTATGAACAGTAAGTTCAAAATTACTGATTTTGGAGTAAGGTTACCTTACTTCCCACCCCCACAACCTTTTTTAGGAATTTCAAATTAGAGAAAATATCAAAAGTAATATTTTAGCTATCATCAGCGGTATTGGGTGATTCAAGAAATGCTGAAATAGAGAGTTTGATTAATTTGCATATCTTAGGGTGGTTTGATGGATTCATGCAACATAATTTAAGTCTCAGCAAAAAAAATAAATGGTTAACTAAGTCAGCAAGTTTTGATTTTTTTTTAACAAATATGTTGTATTGGTGGTTTCAGGTTACAAAAGTTGTAAAGTCACAGCTTAATCAAGTATAAATACTGCATGTCAGTCAATATATTACTCTATCTTTTATATTTCAAATAGTTCCCATGATTTTTCCTGAGATCCAAAATGTAAAGAATGTTTAATTCAACATAAGCCAATCCTTTAATTATTGTCACTGCTCCCTATTCTGTTTCCATTTCTGCTTCCTTAAAATTGAAAGTCCAGTATGGACATAGTGTTCCATTTTGAGCTTCACCAATATAGTATATCTTATGTCTTCATCCCTCACTTTTAATGAGATGATGCTCCATTGCTACTGTGGATTCAGCACTCACTCATCAAGTGCTTATTGTAAACTGGGGAACAGTGTAGTGTGGGAACCAACCTGCCTCATCGGGAAGCTGGCCTTTCTACCAGCAGATGGATGAAAAGGCCTTGGAGTGAAGAACAGTCTGCAAAAGAATGGAGATGGTGGGCAACAGGACTTCTGGTCTTGTTAACCATTGTCTTTTATTCAGACAGCATTTGTTGAGTTCTCTATTTGCCAGTCTCTGTGTCAGAACTGTTTGTAAAATTGAGTAAAGGTTAACCCCTTACCCTTTAAGAACTCACAATCCAACAAGATGTTTGATCTGTTAACATAATGCAGAAGCCTAATAGAGACACATATGATATTTGCTACTTCAGTCTGAGTTTCTACACCAGATATCACAAGTGACCTTATCGAAATATTCCAATTCTGTTATCTTTATAAAGAAAAGATGAAAAAAATAGAGAAGACCATGGACTTCATTTTTTCATTAGCTTGATCCTTATTCCAGAAAGAGACTAACAGCTGGTATAGAAATCCATTTAGCTTCAGTTCATACAAATTATGAATGTTTGGACCAGGGCATATTTTGTGTAACAATGAGGTCTAGCAATAGTAAGATTTTTAAAGTAATTGAATAATTATATTTATTTATGAAACTATAAGTCAAAACCTTTAATCTTCATTTTCATTGTTTCAATTGAGCTAATATAAGCATGAGGGTTTCAGAATAAACTTATACTTTTACCAATGTAGCAGACGAAAGAAAAGGTTAAAAAAAAATTAAATCTGTTTTCCCAATTGATTCTTTTTAAAAATCAATACTACCCCACAGGTAGTATTCATTTTACTTGCTCAAGAAGGCAACGGTTTTATGTAACTTTTTTGTTAGAACCTGCCTCAGTCTTTGATAGTAATCTCTTATTAGACAATTGTTATTGCACATCAACACTACTTTGTTCCACTCTTCGTTAGTTACTGACTGACCACACCATAAAAGAGACAGGAAGCAATACCTCTTATTTAAGCTCCATGTTAACACTTGAAGATCTAATGAAGGATTTTGAACAAAAACAGAAGCACAACACAATTCCATAGTTAAATTTGCAATCATTTTGAGACAGAAATTGCATCATGGAGACAGTTAACTAAAAATCAGACAATTATGGCTAGTGCAGGAAATAAAGGTAGGAACCTATTCTGTAATTGTGACTTTGTATTACATTTTATTATTTATTTTTTCAACATGTCTTTAAAATCACTTTGCTGATGAAAATTGGTACATCCACTATTTAGTAGGCAAGTGACATGAAGGGAAATTAATCCACAACTACAGTCCTACTCCTTCTATGCTCACTCGTGAGCCAAATGTGCAAATTGTTCTTAGCCACCATCCCATATTCCCCACACCCACCCCTTGCAACATTAAACCGCCAAACACTACCCAGGAACGGATTTCCTATTTCGTCATTTAAACCCATTATCTTGTTCCTTTACTATCTTGCCAAACTGGTTTCCCTCCACTTACATTTCTGAGACATGACATGACAAGATAACAAGTCTAGACAGTATAAAATAGACAGTTGGGTCCTAAAGTTGGAGGACAGGACCAAAAGCCAATAATCCTCTTTTTAAATTTTTAGTCGTATAACTTCAACTCCTTTGTTATCCCAAAGAGATTGTTCAACTCCAAAGTCTTTAGTGGTATTGCACATCAGCTGTCCAACAATTGCA